CTCTTGGGATGCTCTTATCTAATGGTGGGTGTTTGACTGCCTTTCTTTTAATGCACCCACAGCCCAAATATACAAAGCGCGTTTTTTTTTCTTGGCGAAATGGGACGTTAACAGTGGACCCTCGGATTTACTGTCCGGCAAACTAATAACTGAGCTACGCCCGACTCAAAGATTCTAGAATAAACTGTGATTCAGATCACACAGGGGTTAAACATTGAGGGGTTCAAAAAGTAGTGTATCTCTGTATGGTATCTTGAGTTACACACGAATTATCTAGCTTATACCATCAATGGTTGTTCTATTTTAACTTCGCTGAATGGTCAAGGCAATAATATAATGCAAGCATCTCATAAAGCCAGCTTATCCCAGTAGACATTTTTCTCTTTTGTATGTTATGTACTTTGGTGATTAGCGGTACAGTAGCTATGCTGCGCTAATTAGATCATGCATGTCTTCTGTCATGAGTGACGCTAATTATCTAGAGATAATCTGCTAGAACAAAACAAAACAAAAATCAGAAAATGTCAGGATGTAATCTGGGTTTTGTAGGATTGAAACACAATAATAAAGATGGTACATTTATTTAGCCAAAACAGAAAGAAACAGTGGTATATTAAACAAAAATAATTTACAAAAATTGTGAAAAATTAAAATAATATACTAAAATCAGAAGTAGAGGACTTTGTTTGGTTGTTTGTTGAATTTTTCGCACAGCCATTCGAGGTCTATCTGCACTAGCCTCATCAAATCCAGTAACAATAAACTAAGGAAAAAGTAGCTAGTGAACATCATCCATCACCAACTCTGTGGCTACGTTAATCAAATAGTAGGATTGACCGGCCCATTATAACACCCCCATGGAGGAATAGATAAGCATGTCCGGTGATAGGGCTCGAACCCGTGAGCCGCAGATTGGGAGTCGAGCACCCTAGCAACCAAGCCATGCAAGGCCTAACTCATTCATCAGATACAGATAAAGTCACGGATGCACACAGTAAACTAACATGTGTGAGGTTTATTCACCTGCTGCCAGGTCACAGAACTTGCTACTTAAGGATGAATCTGTTTTTATCTATCTAGAGTTGTATTAACTATTATATCGTCAGTTATCTTTCGGTTTTTTATCTTTATCTAGGATTACTAATAATTAACATTTCCCCAAAGATAAGGCAAGAGATGCTTTTTGTAATTTTGTCTCTTATATAGTTTTATCTCATTTTGACATTCATTATTTTGTAAGGTACTAAATAAATAACTTTGGACTCTCTTGTACTCGTTGAAAAACGAAATATTTTTTGAGGAGACTAATACATTGTAAACAATCAATACAGTAAATACACACACACACACACATTGAATGTTTACGATACTATGTAACTATACAACAAAAACAATCTTTAACCGCAGTTAAAAAACGAAAAATTGTTTTAGAAGGCTGTATTTTCATACACTGAAGTATTACAATATTTAATTATTTCATTTCATCGACGCGACTGCTCCGAATGGTATAACATATGGGTGTGAAATTAACATGACCATCAAGAATCAAACCTCAGACATTAACAGCAGAAGTAATTCTCTTACGATACATCTCGGGATGTTTCTCCGGAGGCGACAAGATACAAATAACTTTTGGACCGTCTTACCAGTTACATCAAATTCGAGTTCATCTTCTTGTTCTAAATAGTTCTCAGTTTCATTTGTATGGATCTCATTGCGCTAATAAAGCTGCCCTCAAAATTGTTGTTTGAGAACACTTGGCTTTATACTGTGGAAAGAAGACCCGTTTAAAATGTAGCACTACTGTCTAAAACACTGCTAGTAAAATAGTATTGTAAAGTATCAAGAAACGCGAAACATTTTCATAAACTTAAACAACCTGCCACGAAACACAAAACACAGATCTATTTTAGTTAGTTTTAAAACAGCAAAGAAGTAAGTAAGCAGCGGCTGCCCTAGAGCTATTTATGTAAGTACTTTATTTGAAACTCATCAAAATATTGGAACACTTTACGGCTTGATATGTTACATATGAAATATTTTTCACTGACATTTATTCACTGTTTACTTCTAAAAAGGAACGCCACAAGACAATATTTCTTTTTTTTAAGAATACTACTCTTGTTTAATCTTTACGTCAGAACTATCTTTTATAGTCAGTAAAGTTAGTTTAAGAGTTTTGGGAATCATCATATTGATTCGAAATACAAAGGCAAAACTTAACTGTTTCTTCCTGAAATTCGAGATGAGATATTCAAAGGATATTTGCGTCAGCCGTTACTAATTTTGAACTGATAGTTTAGATGGAAGTCTGTTAGTTAACAACATCCACCGCCTACTATTGGGCTACTGAAATTTAATAATGGGATTTGACCTTTACTCTTATAATACATCCATAGTCTCAAAAGGAGGAGCTAATTTTTGCGAGAAAGGGACGCGAACCATGGTCCCTCGCTTTCACAATCCACTAGCCTACGCCCAGCCTGACGTAAAGGAAAGTAGCTGACAAATGCTTATTGAATAATTGTTTTCAGCTATAGACTAAAGGCTAATTATATAGATATATACAGTACAACAAGGATTTTCTCATTTATATATTATCTCGAAAAAAGTCAATTCCAATTTGCCAAGCACCAGATTTAGAAAATCGAAAGCAGTTAGCAGAAAGAACCAGAAACTGATTTTTTTTTGTAAGATGAGAGAAAAGTTTCTGAATCTGGCTTGAATGATACCTCTTTTTACGGAACGAAATTCGTTATAGTACGATTTTGGCGCGGAAGTCGGAGAGTCAAGAGCGTATAACGTAAAAACCGTTGACAAGTCTTTGGCAACGCAAAACAGCCGAGCAACATTAAGTGGAAAGAAAGAAAGATCCTACATTGTGGCTTTACTGATGAAATAGACGTGACAGAAAACCTACAGTAAGCAGCATTTTGTTGCAGTGTGGGGAGGGGGAAGCACCATCATCCCTCTGAAAGTTTAAAGCTGCTGAGAGTGAACTGAATACCTCCACAGTTAACTGTTACTCAGCGTGTAGATTCAATGAAATGAACCAAAGAGTTGGAAACAGAAAACTTTGCACTTCTATGAAAAGTATAGATTTAATTTCCGAAAGCAGGTCGGCTACAGCCTAATGGTTAGCGTGCTTTCTTCGTATCGAAAGGTCGAAGGTTTAAGTTCTGACACCGCTGAACACGACCTGCACTTTAAAATTTGAGTGCAATACGCGTTAAAGTCAAGTTTTACTGAGCTTGGCACAATGGATAGAGGGCCCTTTAATCCAAGGACTCGTGGTTTGCGTCTTGTTACCGCAAAAACGTCTTCCGAATTTAGGGGGCATTTCTATGCTATAATAGTAACGGCCAAATTCAATTATTTGATTAAACAAGAGCAGCTAAAGTTTGTTTGTTTGTTTTGAATTTTGCGCAAAGCTACACGAGGGCTATCTGTGCTAGCCGTCCCTGATTTAGCAGTGAAAGACTAGAAGGAAATCAGCTAGTCATCACCATTTGGGCTACTCTTTTACCAACGAATAGTGGGATTGACCGTCACATTATAACACTCCCCACGGCCGAAAGAGCGAGCATGTTTGGTGTGACGGGGATTCAAACCCGCGACCCGCAGATTGCGAGTCGAGCGCCCTAACCACATGGCCAAGCAGCTAAAAAGTTAACTATGGTTGCTATTGCCTAACTGCCTTCTTTTTAGTAGAGCAATTCACCATTAGAAACGGATATATACGCAGATTATATTTATCTAGCTTTACGCGAAATTATGGAACAAACATACTCACTTACCAATCTGTAAAAGCTAATAAAAATGTATACATGAAGCGCAATATCAAAAACATTTATGATAATACCGTGGAGTATAGTCCATATGGAAATAAATTCACAATGTTTTCTTACATCTTATATATTCTGTTTCTAAATTCACTTTTATTATTATTTCCAGAACACAAACATATTCATTGTATTGCATCAAGTTTTAATAAGCTTTATCCGTGCACGTGATTTATATTTCTTGATTAGCTTGTAAAGCAGTTTAACAAAAAAGTTTCCTGTTGGTGTAGTTCTGTCTCGTCACGATTATATAAATGTTATAGTAAAACTATACCTGTTGGCATATCTCTGTTTCTTAATATTTTTTGTTTCTTTCCAAAGCGATTTAGTTCTAACAAAATTTTTCCAAGTTCGTGTAGCTATTTCTTTTCAAGTTGTTCTTTATCTTATTATTCAGAACTAATTTGCTCTTGTATCTGTTAATTTCTTAAACTCGTTATTTATTTCGTAGTTGAGTTAGAGCTATTTAATTATTCTGTTTCTTCGCGTATTTTACACTATATACAACCAAGTGACAACAGAATTTAACCAGTTCATATAGCTTTGCTTCTTCGTGTAATTGTTCATTTTATAGCTTAGATTCATATTTTTACTTGATCATACGACTTTGATTCTTTGAGATCATTGTTTATTTTATGATTAATTTCTATTATGACGTGTGTAAAAGAGCTCTGTCTGGTTGGTAACGAAGAATATTTTTGTATTCTGTAAACGAATGTTATGAAGTCGATTTGTAACAGCATTAGTTTTTAGAATCTGTACTTGTTATAACTCCACCATATCAGACTTTGTAACTATTTAATAGTCTTGGAGATGTTGTTCTTTAGTCATGTTACAATATTCACATCTATTTCAACTAGTCAAACAAATTATACTAATCACATAACATAAGTTAAACGAAAAGCCCAACTTTTAACGAACTTAATTAAAAGTGAGCTTTACTCTTCAGTGTTGACCATTTTTTTTTCACGTATTATAATTAATTTTAAGTATATTTATAAACTTAGGCTATTGGTTTTTGATATATGTAAATATACGTATTATAACTACAGTGCTATATGTTTTTATCAAGTATTTATTTAGATATTTAACTTGGGTTGGAAAAAAACAACAACTTTATATTGTAATTTCTAAATTCTTTTATTTCCTAAAATTTAGAAAACAAACCCACAGAATGATGACCCGAAGCCTGAGTCTTGTTCTCATTGCTTGTCTTTTGATGACTGCTGTTGACTGTCTGCCTACTGCTACCATCTCTCGGCAAGAAAGGGGATTTCGCAATGCTGCTCTCTCGACCGCAAGAGGATTTGGAAAACGAACATTCAGAGATTTTGAGAACATGGGCGTTCTTAGCAGGTTAGCCCCAGATTTTTTTTTTACATTTTGAAAATTTATAAAAAAAAATCTATGACCTAGGCTAGAAGCGTTGTAAACTTTTAAATAAACTTGAACGTCGTATTATTTTGACTGAGATTTCGTTCATAATTGCACTAAAAATTGAGATTTTTAAAATTGTATACGAAATAAGTTTTATTCTACATTATCATGAATGGTGACATCATACGTGTGCAAAATGATATATATACATATCTGTGTGTATGCGTTTGTAACAGAAGTTGAAAATACGATTACTTGTCAAATTTATAAAAACTTTTTACATTTTTTGTTAAAAATTCGATGTCTATTTGAAATATATATTTTCGCATACTTTAATATTTGAACACCCAAACCGATAATATTTAAAATAATGTGTTTGGTGGGTCAGAAGCTCTAACGTTCTTCACGAGCGATGAAAGATTTTAACGAATAATAATAATAATGCAAGTGTTACTTGTCTATTGTGTATTCGTGGTTTGATATGCTTGTTTAGGAAATGCATTTTTGATAGATTCTTCTTCTTCTGGATTTGTTTGTTTGCTTTTTAGGGAATCGAACCTCAGATTTTAGCTTACCGCTGTCCCATCGAGGGACATTCTTATGAAAAATATATATATACAATATGTTTGCTTGCTTCTTACCTTCCCTAATGCAACAAATGAAATTTTATGGCAGTTTTTGATCTCCCTGTCTCTCTGACGTTTTCGGTCTAGACTGCCCCCTGGTGGCTCAATGATAAGTTTAAAGCTTTATAATTAAAATTCGGGGTTCGATCTTTGCGCAGATAGTCCCATTTTGTAGCTTTCGGCTTGCAAAGACAAAAAATCACACACCCTGATTACAAAAGATGTGGCACGTTACTCATAATTTTGGTGATTTTTATTTGCAAACATTCAAATATTTCGATTAATTAAGAAGAATATATTGCAATTCGACTATCTTCGTGAGAACATACAATCTTTTCATCTGGCTTACTTAATTAAACTATGTTTGAGTAAGTTTGTGAGTGTTTAATCCACTTCTTGAATTATTACGTTTTCACATAGCTTGAAATACTTTTGTATTCGGTGCTGTTACTTTTCTTAATTCTCTAATTTCACGTAGTTCATAGGATGTTGAGTTTGATTTAACTTACAGGTCGATTTCTTTGGAATGGTTCGCTGATCAGTTGACTAAAAATCCAACTCTGGCTAAACTGGTGGCAGAAAAAACTATGGATTTAAACGGTAGATATTTTCAACGTGTTGTGAATTTCTACTGAGTGTTAAGTTACTAGTATCTTACGTAGGTGTTTCTAAGTTACTAATTAAGTTTTTTAAGTTGCTAGTTTCTAAATATTATCAATCTTTTACTTGCTAATTTCTTAAAATGAGCGTTCTTTGATTTACTAAGATTCTAGATTGAATGTTATTTAAGTTGCTTTTTTACATTAAATGTTCCTGGAGATACTAATTTTGAGAAAACGAAATTGTTTGTGAGTATTATTCATGGTTTTAGATCCGAGAGGATGAAAAGTTAAAGCTAGCATAATGAAAACTGATAAATATAAAAATAAAATAAAATTGTCAACAAACTATGTAGATAAAAAGCGTTAAGTAATGCTTAAGCCTAAAGTAAAAACAGAACAAAAACATGTGGTCTAAAGCATTATAACGTAACTGTTTATACATTTGTAGCAATCAATTACATTTGTATATACTTGAATAATTCTAAATTATAAGATAGGCCAATACTGTGTCTAGTTCGACTCGTATTGATGATAGCGTTAAATTCATGATCTGATGGTTAACAGACTTGGACTACGAATTTAAAAGCTCAAAGTCAAATTGGTCAGGTAAGAGTAGCCCAAGAGATGGTGGTGGGTGTTCTTGACTAGCTGCCTTCCTTCTAGTCTTTCCGTTTCAAATTAGGGACGGCTATGCGCAGATAGGCAATTTATAGCTTTAAGCGAAAATTTTGAGAAAAAAAAAGCTAACAACTACCTATAAGGTAATCGAGACTAGTTCGAACCTTGGTTAAATAAACTTATATGTTTCAAATATATAATAAATAAATCGGATATATCAATTTCTTTTTAGTTTTATATATTCATATTACTTTCGAATTTAATAATAATATGTCTGGTGGTTTGATGAATGGCACTTGTGAGAATTTACACAGTAAATCATTCTATTTTCTATGCTTGATCTTTGATAAACCTTTTTGTTTAAACACAATGTTTATCCTTTTCAGGTGATGGATTTATTTCCCAAGACGAGCTCTATCAAGTACTCTGATGATGTCTCGCTGAACTATGGCTGATATTTACGTGTTATATTACATCGGTAATTACAGCTTATTAAATAACTCACCCGTGTTCGTTTATTAACTAAAATAATATGATTTCGTTCATCTCCTTGACGAAATTAACAAAAATAATAATTATGTACATAAATACCTTACTTTGATATCCCTCTAGAATTCTACCCCACTTGATTTGATAAGTTGCGTTATGTTCATATTAAAGATCGTGTTAATTTAGAGCTGTACGTTTCTTGTCTGTTTCATTGATTTGAAAATGAGCATTCATGTGTTTATACAAGCATCTTCTGCTACTTCACAATTGTTACATACAATAGTGCAACTCGAGAACAATTCAACACCCCTTTTGTTCACATTGCTATTTTACAATTATTACAAACAACAGTACAAGTCGAGAACAATTCAACACTCCTTTTGTTCACATTGTTATTTTACAATTGTTACAAACAACAGTACAACTCGAGAACAATTCAACACTCTTTCGTTCACATTGTTATTTTACAACTGTTACAAACAACAGTGCTACTCGAGAACAATTCAACACTCCTTTTGTTCACATTGTTACTTTATAACTGTTACAAACAACAATAAAACTCGGGAACAATTCAATACTTCTTTTGTTCACAATGTTATCAATGAATGTCTGCCATAAAAATCAGTTGGCTACTTAAACTCTCTGGAAAAATGGCAAGAAATGAGTCTTACTTAGAAGCTGTAATAAAATTTCAGGATAACGTATTTAAAATTATTGTTTTATTGATATACGGAAGGAACGTTTATGGCCAACAAAATGTATGTATGCCTCTTTTGAATGCTCAAAGCAATATATAAAAAACATCGTGATGTATTAAAAATAACTTGTAACGACTAATTTCTAACTTATTATTATAATATTTGAAAAAAAAACAACATTAGCCATTTTTTAACAACTATAAGTACATAATGTACGCGTGTTGATGATCAAAGGTTAACTGGGCGTCTGAGATTTCTAATGTAAATGAATAATATACATACTTTTAGCATTTAGAATCGTATCTCCAGCCTCAAGCTTCTAAGTTTGGTCTAACTTTAAGTTATGGACTGTTGACTGTAATATTACAAACATTAATCTGAAGTAAAAATTCAATACTGTAAATTGCTATAGAAGTCGTTTACAAGACGTAAAACGTGTTCTAGAAAATGAACTTGTTAACGTCTCACAAACACAATTGTGTAACTACTGGCAAACGTACAAAAACATTGGAGAATTTAACCACTTTTCTAACACCAAGCGAGGTTGAGAGAAAATAGAAAGCAACGTAGTTCCTGACCATTGTGGTAAATATGTCGGTGCTAAGAAATCAGGGGTAAAAGCAATTTTTTTACTGTTTACAAACGATGAAAAATAAATCAAATAGAATATTTCGTGGAGTTACTAATGTTTAGTTTGAATTCTTACTAATATCAAAAAAATAGTGAGTTCCCAAATTACGCTGAGTATTATTCATATAGTTAAATTTTAGTCATAGAAGTAATAAATATTGAACCTAAGTTTAGAGGGAAAATTGAATGTAAAAATACACCGGGAAATAACAAACACATAATTATGAGGCAACCTAATTATAGCATAAGTAATACACATTGGGATAACAGAAACATTGATGAGGCAACAACGTTATAGCATAAGTAATACACAATGGAATAACAGACACATTAATCAGACAACAACATTATAGCATAAAGAATACACAATATCTGTGCCTAGTTCATTAATTGGAGGATAAGCAAAAACATTCTTGTTCAGAATGCACACGTAAACAATAAAGTTGGGTATATTTAGAAAAATTGCATGATCTAATGTATGAAATGTCGTATTCCAGTAATAAAATTTGTTAACTGTATCTTGTTGTTACAAAAACATGAGATATGTTTACAGGTAATGCCGGTATTGTGATAGGTATTTGTTCAGCAATACCGTAAACAGATCACAAGATGTTGTTCTGTGATACTTATCAGAAGTAGTAACGTTCCTTAAAAATTGCTTTTGTGAATAAGAAGCGTCTTGTACTAAATATCACCTGAAATATAATCATTCTTTAAGAAACCTGCAACTACGAAGGAATGACACTCATATCAGCCGCAGCAATTTAAGGCATATTACAAGAAAGGATTGACTTAAGAGGAAACGTACGTGCAGCACTTTTCTCTATGACTACAAGAAATTGAGTGACTTAAGAGGAAACGTACATACACATAACACTTTTTCCATGACTACAATAAATTGGGTGATTTAAGAGGAAACGTACACGTAACATTTTTCTCCATGACTACAAGAAATTGAGTGATTTAAGAGGAAACGTACACGTAACATTTTTCTCCATGACTAC